AGGCTATAGTCTTATTCTGAGCAAAGCTATTGCCAACTATATGTCTGGATCGTGTGCTTTATTATTGCCTTGCAACAAAGGCACAGACTGGAAAAATGTAAGGCATCTATATTTGCACTGTTGAATGCAGGTTTGATGTTTTGAAACCAGTTAAAATCGTTTGAAAACAAGTTTGATTCAGAATATTGTGGCTATTAATAAGCTGGAGCTCTGGTGTGGCACTGCAGGATAATGCGCTGGACCACAAGGTCAGTTTGAGCCTATACAGGGTCGCTATGGGCTGGAACTGACTCGATGACACTTAATCACAACATTAATAACCTAGTTTCTTGGTGTCACTTACACAGTTCTGATGGCAACTCTAAACTGTTGGATAAATAGATTTTTACAAAGTTTTTGTTGCTTTCTAATACTTTCCATACATTTATTGATCTCCTCCCATGTGCTCCGTGAGATACCTTCGAGGGGGTGTCAGGGAATGAAAACACCGAAACATTGGTCTTAGTCTTTTAGGTGCTCACAGGCTGGTGGCAGGAAGCATTTTGACTCAGGTCTAATGGTCTACTTGTTGGCCATCTATTTGCAAAGTTTGAAAGAGAAAAGTTGCTCTGGATTATTTGCAACTTTGGGTTGTGAGGCCAACACAAGGAAACAGAGTAGAGGGTCTGTAAGATGCCAGTCTTATTTATGCTGCAAATCTCCTGCAGTCCCTTCCTGCCTACTTTTCCTTAGGCTGACCAATCCTGTCCATCTCCTAATGGATAGCAGTTCCAGCACTTCAACACTCTAAAGCAGACCTTGCCAGCAGGGTGGCCACCTCATCCCTTGGAGATTCTGGAAAATACAGGTTTTAAACAATCCCAGCTATGGCCTGTAACAGGGAGTTGTTAATATTAGGTACAAACATCTACACATACAACAAATCAAAGAAACAATTTCAATTGAGTCAACTTCAATCATGCGACCCTATATGTCAGTAGAACTGGGCTCCATAAATGGTTCGTTTTCGGAAGTAGCCAGGTCTTTCTTCCAAAGATGTATTGAGTTTAACTTTAAAGTTAATTTTTTCCACCATCAAAGGAATGAACAACATTCCAAAACAGACAAACCCTTCTCTGGCATGATAGGAGAAAAGTAAGAAAATTTAGCCACTAGTCCCTGTTCCAGACGCTTGTCCCAGAAATTCCTCTCATTCCTCTTTGAGGAAATCTTGCCGTTAAAGTCTCTTTCTAGCTCCATTGAAGCCTTAGGATATTGACATTCTTCTCTGCATATTTAACTTTATCCACAACCTGAAGAATATGGTATGAAAGAATATTAACAAATCCTTTGTATTCACAGTGTGTACAAGAATAAATAATATGAATATATTGCATTGTAATATTTTAAGTCTGTCCTCAATTTATTGGTGGCTATTTTGAGATTGTAAGTCCTGGTATGGCACTTCAGGATGATGCACTGGACTGCAAGGTCAATTTGAACCACAAAGTCAGAGGTTCAAACCCACTAGCTGCTCTTCAGAAAACCCTAAACAGGGTATCTATGGGTCAGAACCAATTTGACAGCACTTAACAATAACAGCAACCATATTGAAATTGTGAATTTTAGCTTACGGAAGGCCACATCCTTAATCTAAAATTTTCCTTGGGCTAGTTTTAGTAGTGTTGAAGAGCAAAGATGTCAGTTTAAGGACTAAGGTGTGCCTGACCCAAGCCATGGTATTTCCAATAACTTCATATGCATGTGAAAATTGGACAGTGAATGAAGAAGGCAGTAGAAGAATTGATGCATTTGAGTTACGGTGTTGGAGGAAAATCTTAAAAGTACCATGGACAACCAAAAGAACAAACAAGTCTGTGTTGGAAGAAGTATAGCCAGAATGCTCCTTAGAAGTCAGGATGGCCAGACTTCGTCTTTCATATTATGGACATATTATCAAGATGGACCAGTCTCTGGAGAAGGACATCATGCTTGGTAAAGTGGAGGGTCATCGAAAAAGAGGCAGACCCCCCCAACGAGATGGGTTGGCATAGTGGCAGCAGCAATAGACTTAAGTTTAGATTGTGAGGTTGGCCCAGGAGCAGACGGTGTTTCATTCTCTTGTGCATAAGATTGCTATGTGTAGATATAGACTCGGTGGCACCTAACAACAATTTCAGTAGGATTGTAGTTGCTTAAAGGAACCCTAGTGGTTCAGTGGATTAAGCATTGGGTTGCTAACTGAAAGGTCTGTTGTCTTCCAACCTACCAGCCACTCTGCTAATTTGAATGGAAAGGTTCTGCAAATGTAAAATATCCATAAGATTTAGAAGATATAGCATTAAAAACTATAAAAACTATCTGATTTTTAAAAATAGCTTTTACATATTAAAGTGATGGTATTTTGGATATAAGTGTTACGTTAAACAAAATATATTGTTACAATTAAAGTCACCTCCTTTTTATTTTTTATGGATTACTAGAAAATTTTAAATGACATGTGTGGCTCACATTCTATTTTCTATTTTGTCATATAGTGTTGTCCAAGTGCACCAGATGATTTATGAGTGGAATGTTTACACAACACTATAATTCAGCTTCAAATGATATGCAGTAGCATTTTGTCTTGCTTTTAATTTTTACTAAGTTTTTGATAACTTTACTAAACACAAACTAAAGCAAGTTGGAGAAGACTTGAGATCACTGGGTGGGACAAATAGCTAATATACTTGGCTGGAAACTGAAAGTCTAAACGTTTGATCCTAGATAGAGACACTTCAGAAGAAAGAAGTTTGGAGACACTCAGAAGAGATTGACTTCTGAAAAGTTGTTTAATAAACCCCATTTGTTTAATTTTTTAAAAAAGTTGTTTAATAAACTCTATTCTGGCATACATGTGTTGAAATTGACTAAATGGTAAGTGGTTTGGTTTGGTTAGCTGCTCTGATGGCTTGAAGTCTGGACTTCAGGTTTGCATGCAATGAAATGTGCTTTGATTGATTTACATGCTGATGATTTATAAGTTGAAACTCTGGTTTATAGTGAAGGGAGACCCGGTGATCTAGTAGTCAAAATCTTGATGGATATGTGTAGTTAGTTAAATCTCATCTGAGGAGGGAGTTTAGAATCAGAGCAAAGTGGCATGTACTCTTTTTTTCTTAATTAAAATATTTTTGTATGATGAATGTGTTGAAGCTACTTACATACGCTGTATAATATATTACAATTCCTAATGGAATACTGTGTTCAATACCCTAACGGATAGCCTGTCTAAGGTGTTTGTTTTTAAGGCTGCTAATTCATCCATCACTAATCTTATTAGGTTGTTAATTCCCAGAGGGCATGCCTGGTTGGTAGTAGCCACTGTTACCAAATGTTGAATGCAGTGTTTTTCAATGAAACCATGGGGGTGCTTCTTAGATTAAAAGAAGATGCTCCTTTTTTGTTTTATCACTCAGCTTAATTTGTAAAGCCCCTTTTAACTTTCAAGCTCACCAGCCGCTCCTTAGAAACACTATACAGGGTCGCTATGGTTCAGAACCAATTCGATGGCACTTAACAACAACATCTAAATCAATGTCTTTAACTCATATTTTCTTCTGAAGATATATATTTGAACAAGAATTTCTGAGTTGTAATATTTCCTTTGCCAATAAATATACACATATAATTACATTAAATATATGAGTGATCTTTTCTCTTAAGGAAAATTTGCAATTGCTTGTGATGAAAGAGCAAAATATGAAGTAGCCAATCTAAAGTTGGGAAGCAAACTTCAATATAGTTTTAGAAAGGATGGAAGAGGTGATACCAAGTTCATCAACAACAGGTGGTTTGATTGTTTATGTCTTCTAGTACTTTTCCTCTATTGCTGGTTAAAACTTCTTATGTTTTTGTAGCCCAAGTCTATGGTCCATTTTATAAGTTAGAACTATGCTTTATGAAAATCAGTCTCTATTTCTATCTATATCTTTGAGTTCCCAGTCACACAATGTCCTTCCATAGTATGGTATGTGTAAATATATTGCTACTAGAAGTAACCTAGAATTTTCATGGGTTGAAATCCATTTCTATATTTCAGTATAGTCAAGTAAATAAATCTTTGAAAATAGCCATCTCAGTATCCCTACTGCCAACTCTATTGGGAATTCTTTGCAGTTTGCGGGGCGGGGGGCCTCCCTTCTTCTCTTATCCCTATTCTTGAGGGGCAGAACCCCTGCGTAGCACGTCCCAGAAGAGACCCTCACAGCTTTTTATAAACAGTCCAATTTTTTCGCCTTTGGAGAAGTGAAAAGACTGCCCCGCCCCCATGTGTGAGAGTCAGATTTGATCGCGTTTAAATGTCTTCCAGTCAAAGATTTAACTCCCTAGCTCCCCACCATCCATGACCACCACCCAAGGCTTAGTTACCCTCTCCTATCCTGCCCTAATTGCTTTGGACTGGTTCCGGAATCCTGGTCCCAGTCCATAGTTCCTGTGGGTCTGTACGCAGAATTCACAGAGGACCTGTGTTACTTCCCTTGCGAAGAAACAAAATTATCGTGAAACTTTAAGTGGAAACTATTCCGTTTTTGTCCCTACAAGAAGGGAAGCATATGACCAACAACCCCTGAGAAAAATAACTTTCAGGGGCAAAGGAGTGAACAGGTAATTTAGAAGAAAAACAGAAAGTGGTCTCCGACTGTCCAGGACTTTGCACAGAGTTGGGGGAGTTGGAGACTCCTGGACGCGTTGTGTTTGTGGTTGCGGAGAAAATAACTGGAGAGCATGAAGCCTGAGGCTTCTCGGATCCCTTCTCGACCAAATCCGGGTGATTTGGTGCTTGGCATTTTTATATTTTCACCCTTTTGTGAGGTGGAACAAACACAACTTGGGCGCATCGCGGCGGCTCAGAGCTTGCCAGACAGGCGGGCGACCGGAGCACCAATCAGCGCGCTCCTGCGCTCTATATATACGCGGCCCGGCCCAAGCGCCTTTCCATCGGCTTTCTGCCACTTGTACTCCTGTTCTAGATATTCATCATGTCGGAGACTGCTCCTGCTGCCCCTGCTGCTGCGCCTGCGGTGGAAAAGACCCCGGTAAAGAAGAAGGCTGCCAAGAAACCTGCAGGGGCGCGCCGTAAGACGTCCGGGCCTCCAGTGTCGGAGCTAATCACCAAAGCGGTGTCCGCCTCCAAGGAGCGCAACGGAGTGTCCCTGGCCGCGCTCAAGAAGGCGTTGGCAGCCGCCGGCTACGATGTGGAGAAGAACAACAGCCGCATCAAGCTGGGTCTTAAAAGCCTTGTGAACAAGGGCACCTTGGTGCAGACCAAGGGTACCGGCGCCTCGGGCTCCTTCAAACTTAACAAGAAGGCAGCTTCCGGGGAAGCAAAACCCAAGGTCAAGAAGGCTGGCGCTGTCAAGGCGAAAAAGCCTGCCGGAGCCAAAAAGGCCAAGAAGGCCACGGGGGCTGCCACCCCTAAGAAGAGCGCAAAGAAGACGCCAAAGAAGGCAAAGAAGCCAGCTGCTGCCGCTGTGGCCAAGAAAGTGGCAAAGAGCCCAAAGAAGGCCAAGGCGGCCAAGCCAAAGAAAGCCGCCAAGAGCGCAGCTAAGGCCGTCAAGCCTAAGGCAGCCAAGCCTAAGGTTGCCAAGCCTAAGAAGGCTGCACCTAAAAAGAAATAGGTTGTTGCGAACGCCTACTTCTAAAACCCAAACGGCTCTTTTCAGAGCCACCACCTACATCAAAAAAAGAGCTGAACTTTGGTCTACGTGATGTGACCCTTTAGGCGGGAGATGGCACTCCCAACAAGGGGAGTGAACTGCAAATAACAGTTTAAGCCCCCCCTTTTCACACTCTTTGTTTCACGCCTTCAAGTTGTTTCTGACCCATAGCGACTCTACAGCGTTTAAAAGGAGCGGCTGGTGAGCTTGAACCACCGACCTTGCGGTACTACCAAACCTAATTTAATACTTTAACCTACAGCACCGCACAGACTGCTAACCTCTAACCTCTCCAAATTTAGTCATTGGGTGGGGTGGGCGTAAACGGATGGCGGCTGAAGCTTTACACATTAAGGGACACCCTGTCCTGCTGTGCTCTTGGTTAGCTTCCTGGTCAGCTGTTCCTAAGCAAGGCTGCTGGTGGACTTGGGATATCCGCCAGCCCCGCCCCACGCCAGCGACCAACAAAAGCTAGTGTAAATCCAGGAATATCTCGATTGGAATGAAATAGTCATTCAAAAGTCCCGCCTTGAGTGCGGGTTGGCTCACATCTTCAGCCCATGACTTTCATGCGGTATTTAATTGGATAGCGATCCGGTCTCCTGTCTAGTCTGTTTTGCTTCATTCGGTTTTAGAGCGCTTGCCCTTTATTTACATTTATCTCAGAAATGTCTATTTCTGACACTTCACAATCGTAAGTCAAGTCACGGTCTTTTAGGGTCCCTATTAAGAGAGTGGGTGGAGACGCCTTTGTCCGGCTTTCGTCTGCGAATGATCCTTTGGTGTGACAACAAAAGAACTTTTTCTTAATTGCCACTGTAACAGCAAAGACCCTTCCACCTGGGCGAGGCTCGACTGATTTTCTGTTCCTCATATTATGCATCCTTTTTTGGACAATTATGTGGATTTGTGTATTAACAAGAACAGAATTTGTAAGCGGCCATTTTGTCCGGTCAGGCCGGTCAACATCCTTTGAAGGCTTCAACATTTAAAAACTGGATGTTGTTTGAAAGGCATTTTTGTACAGCCCAAGTGTTTCAATGGGAAAGTATTGGTTAACTAATGTATGTATGGGCGTTAACGAGTATGTATGGACAGGGGGCTGTCTGATGAAGGCTTTAAGTTTTCATTAGCACTACGCTGGATTCTTTTCGTATCCTTAACGTTTCTCCTGGACACAGTATAGTTCGGCTTTTTATTCTGGTGGACACATTTTCTTGGGCCGCAAATCCTGCAATTTATTTCTTCTCTCATCGCCCCAAGTGTGAATCTAGTGTATGGTTATTCCTGGTTAACAGTGGTCCTTGCTATGGAGTTTACCCCTCCCCTATGCAAATAGAGACATTTTAGCCCTTTTTAAATCATGAATAAGAAAACAAGACAGACTACTATTGCAGCATTAAAAAAAGAAATTCTATGCTTTTGGTAACTGTTACTAATTTTACAATTAAAATAACAGCTTTCTGTATTTTAGCATAAAGTCTAATATACAGATCCATTCGCCCACCCTCATTCGGGGATCATTTATGAATTCTTCTCTGCCACCCTGTCTCCAAATGAGATGCCACCTTTCTCATAGGTAAATTCCATAGATAAACTAATACTTGGTTCTATTCTATTCCTTTGATCTTTCTGGTCATTCCTAAAGTGGAACTACCTTGTTTGAAGTGTGTTTACAGCTATCTTCAAAGTTAAGATTACCTGATTTACAGTCCTGATGTGGTGCTGTGGGTTAATGCTTGGGACAAAAATGAGGCTTTCTGCTCCCTCTGGTAAAGACTTACATCCTCAGAAACCATATGCAGAGTCACTATGAGTCCAAACCCACCCCACAGCACACAGCCACCACAGTGCCATACAAGGACTCTCCTGATTCATGTTGTCAAGTGCCATACAGTCAATTTCAACTCATAGAGATTGGTGAGTTTGAACTGCCGACCTTGTGGTTCAAACTGACAATGCAGTGCAGTGCTTATCCTACAGTGCCACTACAGGGCTTCCTGTCATAGTGACCCTGTATAGGGTTTTCGAGGCTATAAATCTTTGTGAGAACATTTTCCTCCTGTGGGGTGGCTGGTGGGCTGGAATCACCAACCCTGTGGTTCACAGTCCAGTGAGTATCCTACAAGAGCTACCACCCTTTAATTCTTTAGATCCTGTTAACTCTTACTCCAAGGATTGGGGCCACATCACTTAATTCATGTTGGGGAAAGTTATAGCACCAAATGACCAAATTAAGACACTCCAAACATGATCACAATTAGTGCTTATAATGGTGCCATACACTGCTTATGTTCTTCTTTTTCTTCAAAATACTTTCAAACTCATCCATTACTGACTCTTCACATAATTGCTAAAGAGTTATATAAGGGAGAATCAACCTAAGCAAATTCTATTTTTTCCTTCACATCTCTTGTGAATGTTCTTTGGAATGTCAATCTATTAAATTTACATACGTTCAGTTCATTCTAACATTCAATGTCTTCTGAAAACATATTTGCTTTAGATTTCGGATGTACCTTATTTTCAAATGAAATGTACTCCTTAAAACAAATAAATATACATATTCATACACATACATGTACATACTCATACATATAAATATACATTCACCCTTCTCTAGTAAGGGGGAAGTTCATTCACAGCTAAAATTTACTATAAAAATTTCTAGTTTTATTCATCCTTTAGATACAATCCTCAATATTTTTTTCTCAATTTTGTCCATGTTTTTTCAGTTTGTTCCATTTACTTACAATTGTTCTCATAGTTAACTGACTTAGGTGAACTACTTAAAAAATATATAATTTGTTCTTTTTCTCTGCTTTATTTCATTTATAAAGCCTATATTTTGACTGTTAATTTTTATCATTTTCAATCAGTTTTATAAAAATTTTAATAAGGGCAAACTATATTTATTAAATAATTGTATAGCCAAAAAATAGCAATGAGTGCAATGGCATAAACTAAACTGCTGACTGGTAAACTAACCACAAAAAATGATTATTCATAGTATGCTAATTGTTTGAATTGTCCATATATAATAAAAATATAGGTTAGACAGAAATTAAGGGATACTTGCAAGGCATTGTTTCCAACTGCATTGTTTTTGCTTTGTGTACACACAGTGTTCTTATGGCTGACAATTTAAATGTCCTTTTACTTCCGGTTCAAATTCACCAGCTGTTCCTTGGAAACCCTATACAGGTTCGCTATAAATCAGAACTGACTCAATGGCACTTAACAACAACTACAATTACCTCCCCAGGCAAAGCTCCAAGTTTTTCTGTTTTGCCTGAGGGAAATGTAGAAGATGATTTTTTGGGTGAAATCCATGCCAGCGTTGAACATGTCAAGGGATTATATCATTAGAGGATTTTAGAAGGGAATAGGGATTTAGGGCAAAGTGACAATAACCTCATTGATATCTAATATCTCTTGAACATTTTCAACATGCTCAACACACTAAATTTATTTTCCTACACTTTCTTGTTACAGCACTTTGAAACATATGTCATTACTAAATAAGAAAAAATCAGCAATAACAAAAGCCCATTGCCTTCTAGGCACTTCTAATTTACAGCAGCCCAATGTTGTTGTCAATTGCCATGGAGTCAGTTCTGACTCATAGCGACCCTGTATAGGATTTCCAAGGAGCAACTGGTGGGTTTGAACTGCTGACCTTGCAGTTAGCACTTCAGTGCTTTTCTTATAGCACCACACCAGGACAGAGTAAAAGTGCCTTATAGGGCACTTTAAGGAGCTCTGGTAGCGTAGTTGTTACGAATCGGGCTGCGAACCTTAAGGTCAGCAATTCGAAACTGCCAGCTGCTCCGCGGGAGAAAGATGAGGCTTTCTACTCCCGTAAAGATTTACACCCTCGGAAACCCTGTACAGGGTCGCTATGGGTCGGAACCGACTCGACGGCACTTAACAACAACAACAACATCTTTAGTTAAGCAGATTTCCACATCTTTCTCCCACAAAGCAGTTGGAGGGTGTAACTGCTTGGACCTTTTAGTTAGCAAGTGAATGCTTAACCATAGCACAAACAGTGGTCCTCATGTGCTGTTGTTAAGTGCTGTCAAGTCAGGTGTGACTGACAACCCTGTGTGTGGTTTCCAAGAGGCAGCAGGTGCGTTTGAACTACCAACCTTGTGGTTAGCAGTTTAGTGTTTATCCTACAGTGCCATACCTGGTCTCCCATGTGCCTCTAGCACTCCCATTTTATAGGAAAAGAAACTGAGGCTTGGTGATGATATGGAAATTGCTTAAGAATATATCAAATATGTTTCTGATCCTTAAGTCAGTATGATTATCTTCTATGAGGGGGCTTCAAAAGGTTTATGGAAAAATGGAGAATGAAAGATAATGAAATTTTCCCACAAACTTTTTGAAGTCCTCTTATATATACTAGCCCTTTTCCTCAAAAACATAAGGGTACCCACATACATAATTTAAATTTTTCTAGTACCTATACTTTAAAAAGTAGAAGAGAAGCAAAGATAAACTATTTTAATAATATTATATTTTAGTCATACATAACATTATCAATATAAAAATATTAATGAGAGATGAAAAAACATTACTAAATCAAGATCTGGAATGTATTTTATAATTGAAACACATCTTAATTTGTAGTAAACACATTTCAAGTGCTTAATAGTCACACATGTCTAGTGTCTTGGACAGCCCAGCTGTATACTGAAAAACAAGTCCACTTGCTCTGGAGCAGAACCCAGATGTTCCTAGGGAAATCCTTAGTCTGACTTTGTCCTGAAGCCCAGGGAGCATCCACAAGACCCTGGTGTCTCATCTGCTTATTCTAACCACTTTACTTCCCACTAGGCCTCTGGTCACACAAAGAGTTTGCCTAGGCTAGGCCACCAGGCGAATTGGTTTGCCATCGATTCCTAATCTAAAGGTTAGTAGTTTGGACCCACTCACTGGTACCATAGAAAAGGTCTGGCAGTCTGCATCTTTTAAGAGTGTTGTTAAGTGCCTTGGAGTTGCTTCTGGCTTATATAGGAAACCTGTGCAGGGTTTCTGAGGAGTGGCAGGTGAGTTTGGAACTGCCGACTTTGGGGTTCAAACCGACCTTGTGGTCCTACAGTGCTACACCTGGACTCTAAGAAAACCCACTGAAGCAATTCTAGTCAGTACCACATGGAGAGTCACTGTGAGAATCACTGAAAGCTAACTAGCAAAAAGGTCACTATTTCTCTAATGCAGCCTGATGGGGAACGCTGGTGTGGCACTGTAGGATCAGCACTGGACTGATAATCATAAGGTCAGTGGTTCAAATCCACCAGCTGCTCCTTGGAAACCCTATACAGGGTGACTAAAATTAAGAACCAATTCAACAGCATTGAACAACAACCTGATGGGATGTACCCCATTTCTAAAACAATTACCCTTGAGGAGGAAACTCGATCTGATCATCCATTTCTGGGTAATCTTACTGATTGTTGTTGTTGTTAAGTGCCGACCCATAGCGA